TAACATACTTAGAGATTGTGATAATGCCTGCTGTGTCGCCCATTTCTGCGCAAACAGGCTTTTATTGGGCTCCCTGGGAATAGACGTGCACTTGTAGTTATTGAGCCACACTCTAGAAAACACACCAAGCCTGCCAGGGTTAGCTGCTTTTCATCTAAAATTGACATTCTTTCTGGTTAATCAAGCTACAAAATAAATGCTAAAATGCTACAAAACCTCCACTTGGACTGGAGAGATGCTACTCTGGGATCTGGCGCTGAGCAAGAGCTCACTAGCCCGCGGTACAAATTTCCAGGCTACCACCACTTTGGTGCCTGGTGCTTAATATCGCTTTTCTCCCGGATAAAGACTGTGTCCAACTTGCAAAATGAACATCATTCACCTTCACTCTTCACCCCCACTCTGGTCCATGAGAATGTTTTGGGGCAGGACAATCCTCGTTTGGTTGTTTTGAATGAAGTTTCGCACAATAATGCTCTGAACTCAGCTGAGGTCTTATTATACAAATAAACAATAAGTGACTGGAGTGAAAGAATAAGCAACAGTGACAACAAGGACTAAACAATCTCCATTTATTTAAACGAAATGGAGAGGGGGGAATGCAGGCAAGTTGGTAGTTTTGCCTGGTCACATTCTTATGGAAATGAATGTGATCTGTCCCTCATAACTTCTCAGATTTGCATGGAGATCTACAGTATGATTTCTTAGGCCAATTAAATCACATTGAAATGAGAGGTAAGTCAAAATGTGATGCCTCAAAGCAAAAATAGAGGCATCCTAGCCCATAAAGGTGCTGAAATAGATAGCATGTAAGTAGAACTTCCAAAGATTTGGAGTGATGATGAAACTACACAGCAAGTAAGGCAGGTGTGTCCTTGCACACAGTCAGTGCTCAGATGGATGTAGAGCTTCCTCGCAACACCAGCCTGGTTGTTAGGTTCAGGATCTAACCAGATGCTACGCAGCAAGCTAAGAGTTTCATGAATTCTGCAAAATAAATCTTTTCTCCTAGGAACTGTTTGGCTGCAAGTAACTTTGCATCAGAGTTCCTCAGATCAACAGTTCCAATTCCAGGAACTATCTCAGCACATGGATCGGGATCACTGATTTCACTGGCACTTGGGCAACGCTGCAGCATGTACAGCTGGGACGGGGACACTTGCTCACCCAGAGCACATGAGGGAATCCCAGGGAATGGTCATTCTCCACTGCTCAGGGAGTACTGGAAGAAAGAAAGCGATAAGGCAGGAAAAACATCAAGAGGAAAAAGTTGTGTCACAGGAAGACCCTTTCCCCATGACAAGAAGAAAGTCTACAAGACAGTAGCATTACCCCTTATGCCTCCTTACAACCATTCACAGCTATCGGTCATTCCTCCCAGCTGCCACAGCGCTACATCTCAGAGCCTTTCATCCGCTCTGGGCACAGCTGACTGGGAACTCATTTTGGAGTGAGCAGACTTGAGGGTGATGAGAAAGGCAATCCTACCTTCTTACCCGGGGCGCGGATTAAAATGAAACGGTTTTTCTTTTTCAGTAGCGCACGTAGCTCCTGGCACTTGTCGTAACTCTCCAGCTCCACCGTTTCTATGCACTTCTGTTCATCCTGCAGAGAGGCAATGAAACATTATTATGAATAGGAGGCACTGAAATCAATCATACACCATCAAACTCTGCACATCTTTCTCTTGCATCTGTCTAAAAGCTCTTCTGCCTTAAAAATAACCTGCATGCAGACAACAAGCATCAGCCCATGAATCAGGCTGGCATCTCACTAAGAAAACACCCCAGCCTTTAAGCTACAGGGTGATTTGTGGCTGGTGGTCCACAGCGGCCGAGCAAATGACACACTGTGGACAGTAACGGCAGCTTCTGCCATCTCTGTTGGCCTCACCCAGGGATCTGCAGCCAGAAGCGACACTACCTCGTCCCCACAATGAACGCAGGAGACGTCGTTCTGCTTTTTCATAGGGAAGATGACACAAGCATCACGACAGTCCAGGCAGACCCCCAGGAAACCTGAGGCAGAGCAGAGATAAGAGGGGAGCCGTGCCACCGTGCTGAGCTGGGGCAGGCTGGTCCTCACGTCGGAACGGTCAGCAGGAGCCACGTGTGTGACTGGGACACCCTCTTCTTGCAGCCGTGCTCTGAGCTGTCAAAATGCTTAAGATGGGAAGTACAGTCTCATACAGACAGCAAAACTGTCAGGGCCAGCGTCTCGGTGGGGAACATTTATCTCTGGTGTATCTCCACTGATGACTGCCAGCCACGATCTTGGCTCGTTTCTCCCAGTAACATAACTAAAATTCCACACGTGGTGCGTGGCGCAGTTCAGCTGCGGAGCGCCGGCCCTAATAGGAATCGCAGCGTAACTCTGGGCACATAATATTCTTCATGTCTCAGTAGCCCAGAAGAGACCGAAGCTCCCTTCTGCTAAGCATTACACAAACAAGCAGCGAGAATCGCCGAGCAGTTCTTGCTGGTAAAGCGCTAGAGTCAGCACGCCTCATGAACCTCTTTATTACCATCCTAAATTAAAACCGCTGGCCATGACCATCCCCAGCGCAGGCTCCTCTCCCAGGGCAGCAACTCGTACCCGTAAGAGTTTGTATTTAGCAATTCCTGTAGTGAAGAAAGGGGTGTGGGATGAGGAAACATGTCGTAGCAGCCAGGAAGCTGCTGCGTGGCTGGAGGCAGGGAATGGAGAGTTCAGAGGGAAGTGGGCTGCGGGGAATTTCCTCCCTTTACCACTTGACATTTAAGTCGCTGTGCAGAGCTCAAACTGTGTGTAGGTGGTTTTTTTCACCCTTCTATCTGGGGATGGGGGCCAGGCAGAGCCGATGCCGGTACGCAGAGCAAGTTCTGAGCCACTGAGGGATGTCTGGATCTAATTTAGGTTTATTATTTTAATGACATTACTGTTTATTTCATTTAACACTGAGTAGGTGAATGTGACCAGAGAACTGGGAAAATGTGTACTAGGAGGAGGAGATTAATCCTATCCAAACCTAAAACCTAGCAGATAAAATCCTGCTGACGTTCCATGAGCCCTTTGAAGGCACAAGGCTCCTGCTGCAATCCTGGTATCGCAATGTCACTGCAAAAGGACAGGGATGGAAATAATAACCCCTCAGCGGCCAACAAATGACAGAGGAGGGTGAGGTCAGGAATACATGCCTCGGGGAGGGGTGATCTCATCCCAGCCTTTGGTGGACGACCGCCCACATCACAGTACTGCCGCGCAGCCGGCACGGTTACCCACTCCGAAGTGAAAGTTTGCATCGCCTCTTGCCTTCCAGCTGCCCCTCTTCTCCCTGGGGAGGCTTTGGGGACACTGGCCTGGCCAAGGAAAAAGGGCAGTGAGGACAGGGACACACAGGACCCTGCCTCCCAGGGGCGCTGGCTTCACTGTGCAAGTTATAGGTCCTTCATCTCAGAGACCGGAACTTCCCAAGTAAGTTTTCCTCTTCAGGGAAGGCGGAGAAGAAAGCAGCCACAGAAATAAGAAAACTCCATGTCTGAGAGCAGAGGAAAAGCATCTGAGTTCAGGGAGCACCAGAATGGGGCTTTTGTCTCTGTTTTACCCTTGGCACATGGCCATCCCCTCTCTCTGAGCCTACCTGGGTCACAAAGAGATCCTTTATGTTTGTCCTGCACTGCTAAGACAAAGACCTAAAGACCCGACCCTGCCGTAGGTCCCTTCAGCCTCCTGGGATCTGGAGGATACTCAGCATCACGCAGAGACAAAGTCGCTTCCAGAGTCCTGCCCTGACACACGGGTCTCGAATGCGCGTTCTGAACGAGCTCCCACTCCATTTGGTCAATCCTTTTAATTCGTCCTGAGACACGGAGGTTGAGCCTTCACTCGGTGAGCACGCAGCTCGCGGGGCTGACCCACAGTGCTGCTTTTGCTGTGAATCGAGGCAGAGGATTTCCTTCAGGCCACCTTTCTCTTTTCCCCTACAGATTTTAGGGCCTGTTTTTTAAATTGCTTTTGTGCTTGCTCTAAGGGACAATCAATAAGACACTTAAAATCCTGGTACAGAAGCCCCTGCATTCACAATTTAATGCAAAACCCAATTCCATTAGCTATTTGTGAGGCAGATGCTGTGACTTACAGAGGTATGTGTCTGTAAGTTGGCCCTTAAGAAGAAAATTACTGAACACTTAAACATATTAATGCATTAACCAAATAATCACATTTCCTTAATGAAACGTTGATAAAAAGGGGAAAAGAAAGACCCATTGAAATTTTTATCTATATGAAGGTGTAATTTCCAGCAAAGACCTCTTCACTGACACACATTTGTGGGCTGTGACCCTCCATTCAGTGTACAGTGTCTAGCCTGCCTGAGGTAATAATTTACTTCTCCATCTGAGGGTCTTAAAACATTTTAATAAATCACTTCTGGGTATACATTGCTACCACTTCACCAGGGGCAAACCACAGATGTTAACTGCCCAGCTGTTAAATTCTGAGTGGATCCTCTGGTCTCTAGAAGACTCTGTCTAGTAAGTGTTTCCCTGTCAAATAGTTCACTTAAAAAATAATAATAATTAAAAAAAAACCCCAAAACACAACTCTAACCACTAGCTACACTGTTTAGGGGGGGGAAAAAACAACAAATGCAAGACTGATGCTCTCTAATTCATGGAATGAGGATATTAATCTGTGTTGTCTCTCTGCATAAGACTGCCTGTTCTTCAGATGCTCTCTCTAGTTTTGCAAGGCTTAATTTTTATTCTGTCAAGAATATACAGAAGCAAGAAGACAAGAAACCCCGTTAGAAAATAACTGGCTTGGTTCTGCGTGGGCTGCACACAACCTGAGATTTTCGAGCAGCTCCTTGGGATCTGAGCACCCTAGAGCCATACATATTTGCATCGGTGCCTCCTTTTCTGACATTTGGGTACGTAACATCATACAAACATCTTGCTTAACCGAGTCTTCATTTACATGAGGGTACAGCTGTGGAGTTGCTGTAGATGGAGGCACAGCAGATAACAAGAAATCCATCTCCCTTCATTTCCCCTCTGCTGAAAGAAACCTGAAGCGCGGTGGGATGACTTTCACCCTCCATCTGCTCCAGGTAATACAATAGCCATTTGCAATTTGCCTTCAGGAGGCAGCTCCGCTTTAAACCAAACCAAAAGCCTGGCTAACAGATGCAATATGGGAAACACACTCCTGGGGCAGGGCAGGAGCACATTCCAGGAGATTGCTATTGATGATGATAAATACAGTATCAGCGCTGTGCTCAGACCGTACTTTGCGGTGACACAGCGCAACGTTACTGCCTGCACCCTGCGCTGGCCAACCCCTCTGGTCGTTTTGCACACACAGACCTCAGCTCTGAGTGCAGCCAGCCTCATGCAATTGCATAAACAAGTGTGCCTGCATAGGAAACAATGCAAAAGGCAATATTAGCACCTCTAACACATGAGGGACTAGTAAAAGCAAAATTGGTCCAAGTCGCTAGCTCAGTTCTCGGAGATGCGATGGGCTCAGACCAGCTGAAATACTCAACCTCTAAGTCTGCCCCCCAACACAGAAGCTCTCTTTTCTACTAACCCACGTAGGTCTAATTTGGAATACATCCGGAAAGATGCTTATATTTCCATTACCTGAGGCTTTATCTCCTTTCTTTAGCTAGGGCTCCAATTCAGCAAGCGCTAAACAATTCCATTTTAAAATGTTTCAGCCCAAGGAGGGTCTGGGATGCTGTGTCTGTCGCCAGGGTCACGCAACACAAGGCAGGTGTGTGGAGAAGGTCCGGTGAGGGGAAGGAAGCTTCAGAAATAAAAGCCACCATAGCATGCTGCACCACAGACTCCTTTCACATTGGCCCTTCTTGACTCAAACTCAAAAGCTCATTTCCCCAGTTGGAAGATGGGAGACAGCAACACTGCCCTGACTCACGTTAAAGGAAGATAAATACAGTAATAAACATGAACTGCCTCAATTCTGTGGACCCCTCCTGAGTGCAGAAAATTGCCATTTCCTTTAGTTCCCCTGTAGTAAGTCTGCACAATCACATGCTACCCTATTGTACTTCCAGATAATTTTGTAGCAATTTCCTCTCCTAGGACATTTGACTTCACTGTAAGCCAGTTTAATAGCCTATAGATATTAACATGATCCCTTATTTACAATAATGGGACCTTGTAGCTACTGTAGCTTACAGATGCAATTTATTACAGGATGTTACCACAATCCGCAGGCTACCAGAAAACATTATGCCTGGTTGTTACAAATGCCATTTTCCTTGTTGAGATAATAAAATAACCCTTTAAATGATTGGGATTTTTCCTTCTTCTGAACATCTGTGAAAATTAATCTTACTTTAAAAGCCTCCTTTTCCCTTGTGGTAATCAGAGCCTCCATATATCTTGTTTTTAAAGGCATGCCCTTTAAAAAAACCCTACGTCATGGTTATAGATTTTGAATTTGCGAGTTCCTGAAGCTTCAACTGGAGTCAACAGGTGTCCGGGGCACTGGGAAGCAATTTGTAGAGAGTCAACCATTTGCAAGACCAGGCTCTGCGTAAGAGAAAGCCCTGCCGCTGTGTCTGCCTCCCGAGCTGCTCGTCACCTGGCATTGACTTCTCATTTCGTTATTTTTTGCACTCTTCATGACATTTCAAAACTAAGAACAAACGCCTCCAGAAAGCTTTGGGATTTGGGAAGAGCAGGAGAGCTCTGGGTATGGGAGGAGGTAACACCCTTTAAGCTAAACTGTTTATAACAAATCTTCTTTATTAGGCAATAGTATGCGAGGGTTTTTTTTTAAAAAAAAAGAGAACCAAACTCATTGTCAGTCCTGTTGTTCCTGAAACCACCACAGCAATGCAGCTGCTGAAACATTTCCCCATTCTTCTTCCCTTGACACACTGCACAGAAACTTTACATGATTTTAGTTTTTCGTCACCCTGATGCCCACGAATGACCCAGATCCCCTTGTGTCAGACACCGCACAGGCACGTGGTCCTCGTGCAGACCATGTGGTGAGAAGTGCTCCTCCATCCTGAGGCACAGTCAAACTTCTAGTGGAGAGGCGTCCCTGCCCATGACAGGGAGGTTGGATTAAATGATCTCTAAGGTCCCTTCCAGCTTAGCCCATTCTATGATTCTGTGATTCTAGGCACCACATACCAGCAGGGCTTAGACTTACCTACCCCTAACCTCAGCCTCTCTGGGTCGTAGCTTCCACTCTGCACTGTAATTTCTCACTTCGGGGCAAACTCTGCTCTTGCAGAAACCCCATCTAGCCCAGGAACTGAGCTCGGGAAGGAGCCACCTTTGCAGATCAGGAGGACCAGCCCTGCACTCTCCATCTTGCAGGAAGATGCAGAACAGATTTGGCTTGGCTGTTATTTCTCATTCGATTGGAAACAGCTCTAAATGAGGCCATGAACTCAAGGCATGCAAATTATCTAGGAAAGTCCAGGACAAGGCTCCCAGGAGTCCTTCACTCAGTACTGGCTCAAGTAAAGGGAAAAGATGAGCCAAATCCAGACTGCGTCCCTGCTTAAGGAGGAGAGCAAGCCCTCATAAGCTCACCCTGCGTCCATCAGTGTCTAAATGAAACCCTGAAGAGTCTGGCTAGCAACAATTTGAACCGCTTGAGGGGTGCCAAACAGCTGCAGGGTTACCTGCCGTCCCCTCAAGCCTGCTACAATTCACTTTTATCCTTTAAAATTTTTATCCTTTTATCCTCTGTGCCAAAACCGCACAGCACATATCCTGCTTCCGCCCAAAGCTTTGCTCTGTTCGCCCTCTCACAGGATGTCCTGCCTCCATTTTATTTTTTATTTTTTTTTTTAGCAATGGCGCTGTCAAAATATTTACTGGCTCAAGTATTTATGATGTATAATATACTCCAAAATGCAGCTGCTGTCTCTTTTTTATAGCATTTACCCTGGATATAACTGGAGAAGCCCTTTTGAAAGAAACGCGCTGGAGGGAAGAGCAAAAAAGGCAGGAACATGGTGTCACCAAGGGCCTGATGCTGCCCCTCATTCGAGGTCGTCAGCTGTGATCATACCTCATCCTCATAGACCATGAGCTGGGTTTTCCGTAGCTGGATGTAACGATCCTTCCACAATCCGAGGAGCCCCCCACTGCTTTTCTTAACCCAGCCGTATTTCTCTGCGGTTGGAGCAGGCTTTGGTTTCTCTGAGACCTCCTCCTTTGTATCCTGCAAGGACAGAAGGGAGAAGGAATTAATTCGAAAAGCACTTTCCATTAGTGTAACGAAGGTCACCAGAAAGCCCGCCTGGACAAGACCTCAGCACCCACTACACGTGGTCCCTCCCCACCACGAGCGAAAAGACCGGCATCTTCCAGAGGAAAACTCAACCAGCTCCCGTGGGACCAGGGAGGAAGCATGGACCCTGGCCACCCCTGGGGACACTTGGGATGGCAGCAAGTCCACCTTGCTCCTCTGCATGCCCCGTGGCTTTGCTCCCTGCTCTGTGGAGGTACTCCCTGCTTGTTTGTGCACCAAGTGCTCCTTGAAAATGAGCATCCTCCTCTCTGTTTTGCTCCCCAAGCTCTCTGATGAACCCCAGCAGGATGGACCCTGATGGCATCAGTAGCAACGCTCATATTTTAGCCCACGGCCCCTTCTCCAAGCTTCTCCGCTAGGTCTCTTTGTTTGGTCACAGCCCCTAGACCGACTCCTGTGCGCAAATCCATAGCACGAGGGCCAGGATTTCATCACATCTGCACTAAAATGTTTCCGTCAGGCTCCTGTGTCGTTTGTAGGCAGAGGGAAGCACCGGCAGAGAAGGCAGAGAGTGAAGGCACAAGAGTGGGGGTTCGGGGTGTTTTTGGCCCTGCCTTTAGGTCCTCGCTGTTTGTCACAGCTTGTTCTCGCCCGCCCACGGCAGCACAGGCAGCCCCAGCGTCCTGCACTGGGAGGCTGCTGGCTTCCAGGCTTGGTAAAAAACAGACGCATAACTTCCCTGCTTTGAAAAAAACATCAGAAATATCCAATATCAATATTCTCTTCAAACAGAGACAGGAAACCTAAGACGGGGAGCAGGGACAGTCAGGCTTATTAGCTGACTGCCTTCAGCAGCAGACTCAGTTACAGACTCGGTTTTTCTCCTCTCCAGTGTGCTGGAAGAGCTTTTCCAAAGCCAGGATCCACACCTGCCTCCCTCTGAGCTGCTCCCAGCACCCCATGGACCCC